ACATATACGTGGTAACTTACTTAGTCTGGGTATGGTAACTTTCGATCCAAAAAAAAATTGTCGAAACATACCAATATGAGATCTAGTTTTGAAGGTCTCATCGCGACGAATCTTTTTTGTAAAAACAGTTTTTCAATCAAAGCGACGGTTTGAGCTACAAAACATTTTGAATATATATATTTAGATGGAATCTTTGATGACATAAGCTTTTCTGTTTTAGATGGAATTTGCACTGCATGCATGATTAGTGAGGTGCATACTCTAGTCATGGAAGCGAGGTGGGGATGAAGACCGATCGTGCAGATCTATTGCTAATTTCCTGCCGTCCAGACATTAGTGGTGTCCATGAATATATAGACGTCCAAATATACACATGCTATTGGAGATGCTCTCACCCGTCATTCTCGCCGATTTCAGCCACTCCCCTCGTCCCGACGCACTCGTCTCCCTTCCCTCACCCTCCCAGATGCCCCCCACCACCACCGCCAGATCTCCCATCAACCACCACCGCCGCTATGAATCCAGGCTCTCGGCCGCCGGCGACGCACCCCTCACTAGTGAATAGCTCCTTCCTCGACACCTCATCCCTCAGCCCCTGTACTTAGGATTTCACGATGCTTCTTCCCTCATTCGATGTCGTGCCGCTTCCGGTGACCACAGTGCCGTCATCGAGATCTCAACTCCTGGTAAGTTCCCTCCACCTCTCTTCTCCCCCCTCTCTGATACATTTGTTCTGCTTGAACCCTAACCCTAACCCCACCCCATTGTTCAGCACCACGCCTCCCTCCAGTCACTGACCAGATTCGGACAGCAGATCGAGTTGTTGAAGACTCCTGTGCCAACCCATGGTCTGTCAGCTCCGCATCCTCCTCTCTCCATGGTCTTTGTTCTGTCATGCCTCATACCAAACTGCTTGGGAATCGTATCATGTATTGTTGTGGTGATAGACTGGTGATTAGTAGATACCCTCGGAATTGATATGTCTGGTGATCACTTGCTTTAGATATGATTACTAGATACACTTGCACTTATTTTGTTCAGTTTCATGTCCCACGGTCCCAGCAAATTAAACCATGCATCATGATTCCAGAATGAAAACAGATAGTGGCATGCAGGCTATAATAACAAGATATTTGCTCACTACATAATCCAGGAGCATTGCTTGAAATAATTCAAGTTCCTTGTTTGAATTGCCACACTACCGGACTATTAAATTTACGTAAGCCAGTATGTGATCAGATTCAGCAGTCTGCTTGCTGTATGTGAACAGACTCTGTTTACTAGTGATTCTGATAAGGCCTCTGAAGTTTTGTTCTTTGATGCTGTATGTCGTGGATCCTTTCAAGATTGTTGATTGTTTTCTTCCCGACTCCAAATCAACTGTGCACTTTTCAGTTGTACTAGATGCTTATGCATCAATATACTCTAATTAGCCCCAAGTAATAGACATGATAACAATATAATCAAGAGTTTGTTACTATAAAGCCGACAACAAAATGCCACGAGTAAAACCTATAGCCAAGTAAATGAAATATACAGCTATCTGTAGAAAAATAACAGAGTACTGGCCGCACCTGCTAGATGTATTTCAGAACGAGAGGTCAAAATAGGTAAAAAGAAATACTGATGCAAGCTATGCTCTACAACGAGTGCAGAGCAGCTACACAAGAAAAATACATGCACTTATGGAATTGGTAGTTCAAGATCAGGGATGGTGAAGGCATGAATCAGATTAGATGAATACGTCCGCGAAACCGTCGTTGTCGTCGTCGCCGGAAGGGATGGGAGCTTGGGGGCAGGGGAGATCCGGGGAAGGAGAACAGTGACAGACGCGGTCTGTTGCCGTCGCTGGAGAGCCGGAGCTTGGATCCTCAGCACCGGAGGGAGGGGGGTCGGGGGCGTCGCTTCTATCGCCGGCGAAGGAGCTCGGAGGTGGTCGGTGGCGCTGGATCTTGGTCAACGGCACCGCCGTTCGTTCGTCTCGCTCGAGCCGTGGGTTTCCTCCCCGTGGAAAGGACGTGGGTCGACCAGGGTTACCCCGAGAACGATGCGGTCCAAATGACCAGCTCGATTTTCCTGGGCCAACTCGGCCCGTGGTTCTCTGGCCTGGGGAAACAGCGGGGATCTCCCCGGGAAACCCTGCAACCAAACGAGGCCTGATTGATGCAGAGGCCGGGAGCTATCCTCCTTTTCCAAAAGTAAAAAGTAGAAGCACATGGGCGAAGATGCTTTTTTGTTTGGAGGGATGAGCCCGTTACTTTTGTTTCTTTTTTTGTTGCTCCAGCGTCTACATTTTATTGGTAAAAATTTATTTAGACGTAAATATGAAGTGACATTGCATACACCGAAGATGGAGGGAGTATCAACTATACTTAATTCCTGGTTCTAAGCATATATTTAATGCTACCAAAAATATATATGATTCCAAAGGTAAACCAAATACTAACTAAGTAATCTATAGATTACTGTCAAACAATCAAGGAATAATTAACAAATCTATTAAAATCAATCAGCTTGTCTGTAAAACAAAGTAGAAGACAAATCTTGATCAGAGGAGCAGTCGGTGACATGCCAATGGCTTCTTGGGGCAATCAGCAATACACTCTGATCATGATACCACACCAGGTCGGTTATATCATTGCCATATTAAGAGATGAGCAATACTTGTATTTGCATGTGCAATGATACTAACATGTACTGTGACAACATTGTGAATACAGTTTTATATCGACGTCACGAGATTCTATTGCTCGTAGCACAACATTCAGCAGGTCCACCATCTTAAATATCAAATGGTAGAATGATACTTACTACTCCCTCTGTCCCATAATGCAAGACGTTTTTGCATGTTAATATAGCTTGAAAAAACGTTTTACATTATGGGACAGAGGGAGTAGTAAATATTATACATTTCTTGGGGAGGATGTAAACGAAGAATAGGTGTTACAATTACCAAAAATACAAATAATCTTCCAAGCATGACTTGGTAACAACAAAGCCAGGAACAGTTCACAAGTCAGCTACTAGAAATCTTTTTGATTTAAGTTCTCGTCCAAAGAAACACTTTGCTGTTGGAGCTTGAACAGGTAGGATAGCCAACTTTATATGGGTGTGCAGAAAACTGATGTGGAACGGATGTCATGTGTTCACTCCTAAGACATGAGCTGTTCTGAGCCGAGAGGCCACTGTCATTGACATCAACTGAGATAATGTCTATTCCCTTGCTCATGTTTTCAGCATATAGGTCGGTGTCATTCCAGCCCCCAGATAACCCTTCAACTATTGAATCTTATTTGATTAATTATATTAACAAATAGTATTTATTTAAGATCACAGAAATAGGTGAGACGAGCTGTCATACTTGGATTTAGAAGGCCAACTGCCTTTCTGGTTATTATACTCCACAGTATGCGACTTTTCAAAGTTATCCATACCAAATACTCAGACAGTACCACAAATGCTGGAGCTGGATACAATGAGAATAACATCATTTGAAAGTTAATAATCTAGAAAAACAGATTTATCATCCAGATGTCAGTAACAGTGCAGAATATTTAATTTCTGAAGCTCGGCACTACTAATGCTAAGAGATGAAAATACCCGCGCAATGTTGCCACAATATTGGGTGAAAAGTCACAGCATAACAGAAACTATTTAAAATGCTATCAAGTTATGTTGATCTGCCAATCAAAAATCTAGCGATATATTTGCACAACTCGCGAAAAGTCTAACAGTAACTTACATTTATTGAGTCTAGCCATGACATAGTGGTGGTTCAAGAAACATGTTTCTTAAATCAAAGAGGGGGAACCTTCTAAGCAAGTTGAAGGGTAGGAAGATGGTCAGAAATAAAGTACCTTGTTACTGCTAGCATGCGGCCACTAGGTGAGAAATAAGTTGGCTGAGCAAATTTGTTAACTTTGAAAACCTATAGGCTATCTGGCTCCTTCGTTTTTATATTTCTCACATCCCGTATACAGGCTGTTTGATCCGTTGAACTGGTAGCGAGCATATGTGGCTTCTCTAGATGAAAATTTATTGAGTTGATTCCCTCCTCATGCACATCCCATGTAGTTAACACCTTAACCACGGGCTCATCGAAAAGTGTCAAGCCACCCTTTCCATCACCAAAATATAGGCGTATGACACTTTTGTGCTTGACAAAGCGAATAAACATGCCACTCTCACAAATGGACCATATTTTATTTCTCCTCCTTAGAATCCATAAAACAAATTTCACCCTGAGGGCTAGAGCTGTAAACCTGTAGCCAAGTAAATGAAATACACCACAAAATAGAATTATAATTGATATAGAACGTTCGGTGAGATATACAACATCTAAATAACTATCTGCACACTGGAAATAGGATAAATTCAACCTAATTTAGCTACCTTGACCTTGATTAGCAAATGCACCTATTGGATGACTCTAACGAGGAGTCCCAAAATTAAGTATCAAATTCTTTTAGATGATGGAAGATTTTCTTGAAACTTAGGCCACACCAAGGAGATACAGCCGAAATAATTCAAAAGCTTCCATCATCTAAAAGAATTTGATACTTAATTCTAGGACTCCTTGTTAGAGTCATCCAATAGATGCATCTGCTAATCATGTTCAAGGTAGCTAAATTAGGTTGGATTTATCCCATTTCCAGTGCGCAAATAGTTATTTAGATGTTCTATATCTCATCGAACGTTCTCTATCAATTATAATTCTATTTTGTGGTGAATTTCATTTACTTGGCTACAGGTTTACAGCTCTAGCCATTAGGGTGAAATTTGTCTTATGGACTCTGAGGAGGAGAAGTACAGTATGGTCCATTTGTGGGAGTGGCCTATTTATTCGCTTTGTCTAGCACAAAAGTGTCATATGCCTACATTTTGGTGATGGAAAGGGTGGCTTGGCACTTTTCGATGAGCGTGTGGGTAAGGTGTTAACTACATGGGATGTGCATGAGGAGGGAATCAACTTAATAGATTTTCATTTGGAGAAGCCACATATGCTTGCTACCAGTTCAGCGGATCAAACAGCCTGTATATGGGATGTGAGAAATATAAAAATTAAGGAGCCTGATTGCCTGAAGGTTTTCAAAGTTAACAAATCTGCTCAGCCAGCTTATTTCTCACCTAGTGGCCGCATGTTAGCAGTAACAAGGTACTTTATTTCTGACCATTTTCCTACCCTACAACTTGCTTAGAAGGTTTTCCTCACTCTTTGATTTAAGAAACATGTTTCTTGAACCACCATTATGTCATGGCTTGACTCAATAAATGTAAGTTACTGTTAGACTTTTCACGAGTTGTGTGAATATATCGCTAGATTTTTGATTGGCAGATCAATATAAATAGTTTCTGTTATGTTGTGACTTTTCACCCAATATTCTGGCAAACATTGCGCGGGTATTTTCATCTCTTAGCATTAGTAGTGTCGAGCTTCAGAATTAAAATATTCTGCATTGTTACTGACATCTGTATGATAAATCAATTTTTCTGGATTATTTCCTTTCAAATAATGTTATTCTCATTTTATCCAACTCCAGCATTTTTGGTACTGTCCAGGTATTTAGCATGTATGACTTTGAAAAGTCGCATACTGTGGAGTATAATAATCAGAAAGGCAGTTGGCCTTCTAAATCCAAGTACGACAGCTTGTCTCACCTATTTCTATGATCTTAAATGAATACTATTTGTTAATGTAATTGATCGAATAAGATTCAATGATTGGAGGGTTATCTGGGGCTGGAACGACACCGACCTATATGCTAGAAACATGAGCAAGGGAATAGACATTATCTCAGTTGATGTCAATGACAATGGCCTCTCGGTTCAGAACAACTCATGTCTTAGGAGTGAACACGTGACATCCGTTCCACACCAGTTTTCTGCACACCCATATAAAGTTGGCTATCTTGCCTATTCAAGCTCCAACAGCAAGGTGTTCCTTTGGACCAAAACTTAAATCAAAAAGATTTCTGGTAGCTGACTTGTGAATTGTTCTTGGCTTTGTTGTTACCATGTCATGCTTGGAAGATTATCTGTATTTTTGGTAATTGTAACACCTAATCTTCCTTTACATCGTGCCCAAGAAATGTATAATATTTAGTACTCCCTCTGTCCTATAATGTAAGGCGTTTTTTCAAGCTATGTTAACATGCAAAAACGTCTTGTATTATGGGAGAGAGGAAGTAGTAAGTATCATTCTACCATTTGATATTTAAGATGGTGGACCTACTGAATGTTGTGATACGAGGAATAGAATCTCATGACGCCGATATAAAACTGTATTCACAGTGTTGTCACAGTACATGTTAGTATCATTGCACATGCAAATACAAGTATTGCTGATCTCCTAATATGGCAATGCTATCACCGACTTGGTGTGGTATCATGATCAGATTGTATTGTTGATTGCTTGCAATTTAGTGCAAGTGAACCTGCTAACTCGTTGTATGTCGTGAAGCTGATTGCCCCAAGAAGCCATTGGCATGTCACCGACTGCTCCTCTGATCAAGATTTGTCTTCTACTTTGTTGTACAGACAAGCTAATTGATTTTAATATATTTGTTAATTATTCCTTGATTGTTTGACAGTAATCTATAGATTACTTAGTTAGTATTTGGTTCTACCTTATTTTGAAATTATATATATATATATATATATATATATATATATATATATATATATATATCTTTTGGTAGCAATTAAATATATGCTTAGAACCAGGAATTAAGTATAGTTGATACTCCCTCCATCTTCGGTGGATGCAATGTCACTTCATATTTACGTATAAATAAATTTTTACCAATAAAATGTAGAAGCTGGAGGAACAAAAAAAGAAAGAAAATTAAGGGGCTCATCCCTCCAAACAAAAAAGCATCTTTGCCAATGTGCTTCTACCTTTTCCTTTTGGAAAAGGAGGACAACCCCCGACCTCTGCATCAATCAGGCCTCGTTTGGTTGCAGGGTTTGTCGGGGGATTCCCGTTGTTTCCTCGATCGGCTTCAGTTAGTCTTTATCGTATCTAATTTTTCAAACAATTTTCCCTTTATTTTGGACTCTAACTTGCATGATTTGAATGGAACTAATCCGGACTGACGCAGTTTTCAGCAGAATTGCCATGATGTTATTTTTGTGCAAAAATAAAAGTTCTCGGAATGACTTGAAAATCAACGGAGAATATTTTTGGAATATATAAAAAATACTGGCGAAAGAATCAAGACCAGGGGGCCCACACCCTGTCCATGAGGATGGGGGGCGCGCCCCTGCCTCGTGGGCCCCCTGATGCTCCACCGACGTCCATCCTGACTCCATATATTCACGTTCGGGGAGAAAAAAAATCAGGGAGAAGGATTCATCGCGTTTTATGATACAGAGCCGCCGCCAAGCCCTAATATCTCTTGGAAGGGTTGATCTAGAGTCCGTTCGGGGCTTCGAATAGGGGAATCTGTCGTCATCGTCATCATCAACCTTCCTCCATCATCAATTTCATGATGCTCACTGTCGTGCGCGAGTAATTCCATCGTAGGCTTGCTAGACGGTGATGGGTTGGATGAGATTTATCATGTAATCGATTTAGTTTTGTTACGATTTGATCCCTAGTATTCATTATGTTCTGAGATTGATGTTATTATGACTTTACTATGCTTAATGCTTGTCACTAGGGTCCGAGTGCCAGGATTTCAGATTTGAACTTATTATGTTTTCATGAATATATGTGAGTTCTTGATCCTATCTTACAAGTCAATAGTCACCTATTATGTGTTATGATCCGTTAATTGATCCAATGCCTACGAGTTTTTCATATATTGATCTCTCCTTCATTACTTTTCTTTTGCCACCGTTAACGCTACTATCATATTACTTTGTTACTAAATACTTTGCTGCGAATATTAATTCTTTCAGGTGCGGTTGAATTGACAACTCAATTGTTAATACTTGAGAATATTTTTTTGGCTCCCATTGTGTCGAATCAATAAATTTGGGTTGAATACTCTACCCTCAAAAACTGTTGCAATCCCATATACTTGTGGGTTATCAAGACTATTTTCTGGCGCCGTTATCGGGGAGCATAGTTCTATTTTTTGAGTCATTGAGATTTATATCTGTTGATCACTATAACGAATTTGAAAGACGAAAGAACTAAGATTTTTCCTTCAACTACGATGGGAGGTAAGGAATTGCCATCTAGCTCTGCACTTGATTCACCTTCTGTTTTGAATAAATTTGCGACACCTACTGCTGCTATTGATTCTGATATGTCGCATGTTATTGATGATGCCACTTCTGCTATGCGTGATATTTATGATGAAACTACTTCTATGCTTGATACTACTATGCCACTAGGTGAATTTCTTGATGAACAACTTCCTAGGGCTAGAGAGAATAAAATTATTGAATCTGATAATATTGATGAAAGTGATGATGAAGATTCTCCCCCTAGATATGAATTGCCTGTTGTACATGAGGGTTATGTTATGCATGAAGAAACTGCTAGAGACTTTCTTGCTTGCAATGGTAGATATGATCTTAAGAAATTATTAGCTAAGCTGAAAGAAAAATCTTTGAATGCTAAATGAAATATGACCCTGCTTTTGCTACTTCATCTATCTTTATTTCCGATAAGGATTATGGTTTCTTTGTCGATTCTGAGTTAATTACTTTAGTTGAATCTGATTCTTTTTATGGCTATGAATCTGAAACCGTTGTGGCACATCTTACTAAATTGAATAATATAGCTACCCTATTCACTAATGATGAGAAAACTCGCTATTACTTTATCCTTAAATTATTTTCGTTCTCATTAAAGAGTGATGCTAAAACATGGTTTAATTCTCTTGATCCTGGTTGTGTGCGTAGTCCCCAGGATATGATTTATTACTTCTATGCTAAATATTTCCCCGCTCATAAGAAACAAGCTGCTTTAAGGAAAATATATAATTTTGTGCAAATTGTAGAAGAGAGTCTCCCACAAACTTGGAGGAGACTTCTCTGATTACTTAATGCTTTCCTGATCATCCTCTTAAGAAAAATAAAATACTTGATATCTTTTATAATGGACTAACCGATGCTTCCAGAGACTACCTGGATAGTTGTGTTGGTTGTGTTTTTAAGGAAAGAACTGTTGATCAAGTTGAATTGCTATTGAATAATATGTCGACTAATGAAAATAATTGGACACTTCTTGAACCAACTCCTAAGCTAACTCCGAAGAAAAAGGTATTCTACTTCCCAGTCCTGAAGATATGCAAGAGGCAACGAAATCTATGAACAAAAGGTATTAAAGCTGAAAATGTTAAGAATTTACCACCTATTGAAGAAATGCATGGTCTTGATAACCTGACACATGTAGTAAGGTAAATTCTCTCTATAGATTTGATGAAGGTGATATTCCTCGTTATAAGTCTGCTAGCCAATGCTTGGATGAGTTTGACAATTTTATTGTTAAACAAGAAAATTTTAATGTTTATGTTGGCAGACAATTGAAACGTAATGCTTATATGATTGAACACTTCAGTGATTATATGTCGAGAGTTAAAGGTGAACTTAAACTCATTAGTAAACATGCGTCTATGGTTATCACTCAAGTAGAACAAATGCTTAAGGCTCAAAATGATTTGCTCAATGAATTAAATAACGATAATCCTACATCTACGTAACACACTACGAAGACTTACGAAAGCTTCCTAACTAAAACTCTCTGCCCCCCTGATTTTAACGGGGTGGGCCCCTGCTGCCCCTATCCATCCAATCCCACCTCACCATGTTCCTTTTTACGTAAGACATTTAGGTAACCTATCTAATCTAGCATTACTCATTAAATAATAAGAATAATGATAATGCTGTTAAGGTTGTGACTAGAGGAGGTAGAATGACTCAGGAACCTTTATATCCCGAGGGCCACCCTAAGAGAATTGAGCAAGATTCTCAGAGAATTAATGTTGATGCACCTAGTTTTTCTAAAGAGAAGAAAAAGGAAAATGATAGGACCTTGCATGCTTTTAATGAACCTGTTATTAACACAGCTGATAATCCCAATGATATTTCTATTTCTGATGTTGAAACACAATCTGGTAATGAACCTGAACCTAGTGATAATGTTAATTATGATGTTCATGTTGATGCTCAACCTAGTAATAACAATGATGTAGAAATTGAACCTGTTGTTGATCTTGATAACCCACAATCAAAGAATCAACGT